TACTACAGGCCAGCCCCTTGGCGATAATTCCGAAATCTTTCCGGGTTGAAGGCCAGGAGAAGGAGGGAAAAAAGGATCGACGCCATTGGCTCGACGCTGCGACGCCTTGCGTGGCGCTCCCGCGGCCCGCTGAGCCGAACCCAAACCCAACCTCACCTCGCGCTGGCGGCGCCTCGGGGCAATCTCACCCCAGACGAGCGAGACCTTCGCGCTGATCAATCCACGAGGCGCGAATACCTGGTTTGGAGCCACACACGATTGCCTCTTCACCGGCCCCGCGCAGGCGCACCATACGTAGCTCAACGTTGGCACTTGGGGCTGCACGGCGCAATATGTATATTGCAATCTACATGCTTAGTTCTCCCGGCTTACCAGGTTCAGCCTAACAGGTCCTCGGCATTCGAACGCGTAGGGCTTTATTATAGATTAACGATCCACCCAAAATAGCAGCACCTCGCAGGTCCTCAAGGGGCTTTCCTCCGCTTCGAACGCCGGAGCTGTCCCTGGTCTGCTTTATCGCCGACCGCTTCAACTTTCCTTTTCCCGGGTTCCTTAGAAGGCTTGGGTAGTTCTAATTTGGTAGGCTTGGTTTCGGATATAGCAGCGTCTTTCCCACCCGTCGATGCCGCCTCTGGGGGTTCCTGTCTCATCAAGACATATGCTGCCTTTTCGACATCGGTCGCCCTGACCTGCAGGCGTCTTGTCAGGGACTCGGCAGCCGCACTCAGCTCCGTGTACTCTTTCATATTGTACTTGATCGGAGCTTTCTTCCCCTCACAGCAAAGCCAGTAAAAGGCTTCATCCGAGAAGAAAATCACGTGCCCGGGGTCATGTACCGACAGAAGCAAAGACGCGGTAGCCGGGCCGATGCCTTTGAGTTTAGTGATAACGTTGAGCGCCCGAGTTACATCCCGGTCGGCCCAATACTGCTTCATGGCTTGCTGGATGACATCCTTAACTGCTACTTCGTCGTTGGCCGACACTAGCTTCATAAGAGTCGGCCGGAATTTGCCATGGCGTCTATAGATAGAGCATTAGATAGTCCACGGGCCTACCTTGTTCGACGTGATTCGTAGGTATACATAAGGTGCCATTACATTGGTAGTGGGGAGCTATTACGCAGCCAAGGACATGTAGGGCGCGGAATATCTCCAACTCCCGCGGTTCAGCTAGCCGCCTGCAGTTTGCGTAGTAGGTCGTCTCTTAAGAGGTGGTTCTCTTACATGGCTGCAAGGCCAGCCTACAAAGCCGCCAAAGAAAATAGACACTATATATGTGTGCAGGGACTATGCAGAAACAGAACAAGTAGGCTTTCGACTTACAATTTCCAATTCACTAGAAGCTTGACGTCGTCATGGTTCATGGGGCGTTTTGGATTTTCGGATTGGAATTCCGCTACGGCTTCCTCATATCGGAACGCATCGAGCTGCTGCAAGGTCCTCTGGTGGTCTCCCTTGGCTGGTGCATATCCGTTAGCTAGCTGCATGTCATTTTTCATCCTTCTTTCTTTTTCTCTATCTCCCTGTCTTTCTCTTTCTCTTTCTCGTCTTGTCGGGTCTAGCCGGAAGGAAAGTCACCCACCTGGCTTAGCAGAGGATGTAGACTCGACGAGCGAGTCGTACGCGCCCAGCAATTGCCGAAACTCGGCAGCTGATATGCTGGAGGGAGAAGGCGTTGTTGCTCTTCTTATGGTCGTCATGTTCCGAGTTGAGCACCTCAGTTTGGATGGACAGACGAGATAGCTGGATAGGTAAGTACAGAGTGAGCGTTCGGTGGAGGATTGCAGCGAGAACCCGCTCGTCGCCTTGACTATAGACGAACGACCAATCAAGCCTGTCGGTTTATAGAATGTCGGTATGTAGAACATAGATATTTGGTAGGTATGGAGTATGACATGCAGCCTGCGGGCGATAGTCTTCGAGAACGACAGGTGTTACCTATCGTGCCTATCTCATTCCATCTTCAAGGGTTGTCGGCGGTCGGGGAGATGCTAAGTAGAGATAAAGTAGAGATACCTGAGCTCTACGAAGTAGGTTAGAGGAAGTAAGTTAGTGGGTAATCTTATAAGAGTTAAGAACCTAAAGACTTCGCTAGAAGGGACCTCCGGGAGTTAGAACACATGCGGGTCACCTGCAGCGAGTGCTAAGCGAACCGGTCCTACATATTATAGAGCATATTATACATACTACGTACGTGCTCCCGCTCATACTTAAACCCCTGGAGATCCCTAACTACGAAGTGCCCCCACCATCTTCAACTACGACCTCGTCCCTGCTCCCCTCACCAGTTGGAGAACTCACATGAACTCACATGAAAAGCAATCCCACACGGCAGAACGGCAGCAATCCAGGTATCATGGGAGGCATCGTCCTCGAGCATCTCCATCACCCAGACTCTCCAAAATGCAATTCATGGCAGGGATAGTCGGGACACTCGTCCCAATCTGCTTAGAGTACAACTATATGCACTTCTCAGTAATATAGCACTGTATGCGAGCATCCTCCTCCATATGAGGGCCTGAATCGGGCCCGAGTGCATCGATCGTCTTCTTACCCCTCAATGTGAACTGAATGTCTGGCTGTTCCGTCCTCTGGCCAACAGGTCCAGCCATGATGATATTCCCGGTTGTTGCTAGTCTTGTGCTCTCCGTCTTAAGAGCCCGTAGCACCTTCGAGCAGAGGTGTGCTTCATTCGCACCGGAAGAGCACGTCTATAACTCCACCAGAACGGAGTTGCAGTATGTGCCAGCGGGCTCAAACCTGACATTCCCGGACAATGACCCGACTTGTAACCGGGAGAGCCAGGTCGTTCCGGTAGACGTGTGTCGCGTCGCCCTTTCGATCCCGACGTCCAATCGGTCAAGTATAACGTATGAGATCTGGCTGCCCGAGTCGTGGACCGGACGAACTTTAGCAACCGGCAACGGGGGCCTTGATGGCTGTGAGTTGGGCTCGAAGCCTCCTTTTGTAGCTTTTACCTTACCTCAAGCAAGCCAAGAGATCGAGTGTATCGAGGCAGTGGGTAACTAATGCTGTCAAAGGCATCGCGTACGATGATCTCGCGTATGGGGTTGCAAATGGGTTCGCAACAGTAGGGGCGAATAATGGCCATAACGGCACCCACGGCGAAGCGTTTTACAAGAACGAGGACGTAGTGATAGATTTTGCCTGGAGATCGTAAGCTTCTTCATCTCATACCCGTACTCCTACTCACACGCTCATTGGAATATGGTTGTAACGAGCGAGCGCTCGCTTGCAGGTTGCATACATCAGCCGTCGCCGCGAAGAAACTGGCACCGCTGTTCTACGACGGCCAAGAGGTCGGGAAATCCTACTACCTTGGCTGCTCGCGCGGCGGAGGCCAGGGTATCAAGGCCGCCGAGATGTTCCCCGAGGACTTCGACGGCATCCTCGCCGGCGCCCCGGCCGTCGATTTCGACAACCTGTACTCCTGGCGGGCGAGCTTCTTCCCCCTCACGGGGGCGGTTGGGTCCGGCGATTTCATCTCGGCGGGGGTGTGGAACTCGACCATCCACGACGAGGTGCTCCGGCAGTGCGACGGCATCGATGGCGTCCTGGACGGCATCATCGAAGACCCAACGCTGTGCCAGTTCCAGCCGGATGCTCTCCTGTGCGACGGAGTGCAGAATACCAGTAGCAGCAGCAGCAACACAGCCTGCCTGACTGCGGCTCAGGTCCAGATAGTCCAAGATATCTTCGCCGACTACACCTGGCCCAACGGGAGTCTTCTCTTCCCCGCCATGCAGCCAGGGAGCGAGATTCTGGCGGCCGCGGGGCTGTACAGCGGCGCTCCCTTCCCCTTATCTCTGGACTGGTTCCGGTTCGCCGTCCTCGAAGACCCGAACTGGGACGCGTCCACGTACGGCATCGACGACGCCCTGCTCGCGGCGGAGAAGAACCCCGGCGACGCGCGCACCTGGCCGTCGTCGTCGTCGTTGCTGGCCGGCTTCGCGCGCCGCGGGGGCCGGATCCTGACCTACCACGGGCTGCAGGACCAGCAGATCACCAGCTACAACTCGATACGCTTCTACGAGCACCTCCTCGCCTCCTCCAACACCTCCTCCTCCACCACCACGCAGGATATGGACCAGTTCTACCGCTTCTTCCGCGTCCCGGGCATGTCGCACTGCAGCGGCGGGCCCGGCGCCTGGGTCCTGGGCCAGAAGGGCGCGGCGGCCGAGGGGATCCCGTTCGATGCGGAGCACAACCTCCTGGCCGCGCTGGTGGCTTGGGTCGAGGACGGCGCGGCGCCCGAGACCATCACTGGCACGAAGTTCGTCGACGATGACGCGGCGCGGGGCGTGGCGTACAGGCATCGCCATTGCAAGTATCCGTCGAGGAGCACGTATCTGGGATCTGGGCTAGATCCTCTTGAGGAGCTTAGTTGGGCGTGCGTGTGAAAAGTGCTGTAGTGGTGGAGCTGTGATGGAACTTGTATGCTCTAATGGCACTGTTTTGAATTGGTCGGGATGTGTCTATTGCTCTTTATTAGAAGATGTTCAGTACAATGTGTTTTTTGTGATTCAAGGGTGGTGTGTTCATATAAGTCCACCCCTTATTTCCCTACAAGTACAAAACAGTCTACCTATTAAGTTGCCGTGCGTTGTCTATTGTCCCTGCGATATATAAACATCACTTAATTACTATCTAGCTGTCTAATCCCGAGTCTCAAGTCATAGGCGATAGCTAGGTGAGCACTTGACAGTACAGAGGCAGAGTTTGGTCCCCACCAACTCCACCCAATATACCGCCGAGATTGCAGCTAAAAAGAGTAGCAAGCAGAACCTCATCTCTTTCGCCTAGCAGTTTTCCGACGGCGACTCGTCGCCTACCAGATATCGAGTATAGGATGTAGTAGAACTAAGGGGACGGACGGTCTGCCAGCCACTGGTTCACGTGAGTTGGAAAAGCAAAAAAGAGGAATTGACTACACAAGCAGCAGGGCTTGACAATAGACCCAGGACGGGCAAAAAAACAAATCGACACGAGCAGGACTTGAACCTGCGCTCCCGAAGGAATAAGATGACCCAGATGGACATCTCCTCTTAAATGAGGAGAGATGCTATATTCTAGTCTTACGCGATAACCACTCTGCCATCGTGCCGGGGTATTTCGGAATAACCACTGTCACCGTGCCTAAGCAACTGGTGAATTGATGAAAATATTAACGACCTATTGTGCTTTATATGGGCTGCTCTAGAACCATGTGGGTGTCGACTAAGATTGCTCCATAATAGTAGATGAACCGGCACTATCACAATATCACAATAGTAGCCTGCGCCAATCACATGACACCTCGTTCAGGACTATTACTCCTCTCGTATTACACAACAAGCACCAAAACCAATTTCATAGTTAGTGAGCTTTCTTAGTACTTTTCTTCTTCTCCTTTTCTTCTGTGGCGGCTACCACAAGCTGTAGGTGTATTTTCCTGCTATCAAATCCACCATACCGAGAAAACGGCTTCGAAGCTCTAGTATAGCTCGTCTCATTTAAGTGCCACATGGGGCACTTCGCAGACAAACGGGGGACGTGTGATGTTCGACTGGGCTGTTATTGAAAAATCAATATAGCAACGAGAAGGCTTGGAGATGTTTCTGACGATGTCATGCTGTTGAAGAAAGAAAGAACGAAAAGGAATAGGAGAAGGAGAAGACGACGATGACGTAGATGCAGCTTCTACTTGCTTATCTCGTCGTGACGAGAACAGTTCACCCAACTGCTTCGGGACGATGCTTCACCCAGCCGCAACCCCAGGAGCCTATATCCGAGTTGGCGTGTTCCTACTCTTCGGCGGCCTGAAGGACCAGAACTGCTCCAGGATGTGGCTGAACGAGATGACAAACTGGTATGAAAGTGGGAGGTTCACGACATCTTTCTGGTGAGTTCCTCATGGGAGGTGAAAGCAGGGACTTGTTCCTGCAGAGTCTCAATTCGCTGAAACAAGACCATAGGCGTAATTCGTATATGTACTTGGTATATGTACCCGACATAAGGTAGATAGACCTAGCTATATAGGTACATGTGGACATGCACTGAAACCTACCACCGCCAACGTACCTATTGCTACACACCTGCAGGGTAACCTACCCCGTCGAGCCTATCATGCCCTTTCCACGTCTTCGTGAGGAGTAGGTAGCACTTTAAGTGAACCCTTAAAGTATCTACCCGCCTGGGCCTGGTACCTACTACCCACTTTGCCACCTATTTCAAGCCTAGACTACGGCTTAGAGACACTCGGGACTTCCGAGTCGGAAGTTTCACCAGTCTTATCATCTACTGGTTGATACCTTGGGCTACAGATCCACCCGGACTGCCTTAGGCCTAGTCGAACTACAACTAGGGCGGTGAAGCTTATAATGGCGCGGTTGGCTAGCTGGTTGAGGATAGCCTGATAAGCGATTGGCGTTCTAGAATCATTAGAATGTGTTGTCCGCAAGCAAAGAAAAAGGCAAAAGGGAAGTCGCAGATTCAAAAGCGTTAATAAATTGCCGGAACCCGCCAGCGAGCCGCTGGAACTTCCCAGTGCCCACCTGCCAGAAATCCCACCACTTCTTCTTCTATCCCTTCTTGCAACGCTCCATCCTGATCACCACCCGAACGAACCATTGCCAGTTCTTCCCGTCTGGTCTAATTACAGCACCTTCACACACAAAATAAACCAAGGGATTCCCACTTGTCAACATGGGTAACGTATGTTTGACCGCTGGCTTAGGACCGTCTACTTCCAGAGCGCAAGTTTGATTGACATACAATGTGGTTATAGGGAGCTAAAGCACAAACCACGCGAAACCGCAAAGGCAACACCGACAAGGCGAAGAAGCCATCCTCGCAGTTGAAGAGTGTAAGCCGCAGCCGCCAATCTACTTTGGCTCAACTACAGCAATCAGCTCATGAACTAACCCACGTATGATCTCACAGAATATAAAGGCCCAGAACAAGATTTGCGCGTGGTGTTTACAGCCGTTGCAAAGTACCGCGAAGTCTGCCGAGTATGTCTTATGAAGCGCAAATCAACGAAAAACCCATGCTCACTACTGTACAATAGGCTCGAAGATCACGCTAAGAAGCATGGGAAGACTTTTGAGGAATGCTGGCCCAGTTTCAATCTCGCAGAAATGAAAGCTACGGAACAGGCGAACGAGGCGAAGAAAACGAAGAAGGCCCCCGCGGCCAAGTAAAACGGACAGAAGACCGGGCTGGAATGGGTTCAGATGTATTAGCGAGGGCGTAATAGGTACATTGCAGAGAATAAAGGGCAGCAAATACTAACTAGAGGGAACGAATTCAACGAGTAACTGATACACATATCTTAGACTAGCTGGATGCTGTGTGCACTCTGATCTTCGTGCACCTTGATGTCACTTGATCAATGTGCCTGAACCGCCTGCCCGGGTCTGCTAACATCGACAGGTCGATTATCTGCGCCAGTCCGACGATCACCCCCCACCTCGTGCCCCTCCCCGTCCGCATCCCCACCTCCACTCCCGCTACCGTTCCCCTGCCCCTGCTCCTTCTCTTTCAACTCCTTCTCCCGCCTCTCGCGCGCCAGCTGCTCGCGGACGGACTGCAGGATCTCGGGGTACCACCGCTCGCCGACGTCCTGGTGGCTCTTGACGCGGTTGCGGAGGGTGGCCTCGCCGAGGGTTTTGGCGCCGCCGTTGGCGCCGCCCGACCGGAACGTGAACTCGACGTCGTCGACGACCGCCCCGTCCCGCCGCGCCTCCTCGTCCATCCGCCGCCGCTGCGCGAGCACGTCCGCCGGCACCCGGCCCACGCCCACCGTCTCGAGCTCCTCGAACGTCGCGTCGCCGCGCACTGCGAGAGAGAAAAAAAATCAATCGTCAGCGTTATAACTTGGTCCCAAGTTCCATCGTCGCGCAATATAGATGTAAGTGGCTATGTCTTTAGAACAAGATATGAAAGCGTCCGCTGCACAATATGGCACGGAAACTTCCGTGTTACACGATCAGGGGGTAGCCAACAAGGGACGGAATTCTGCGCCCCTTCTAGCAAAAAGAACACCTGGGAGCAAAAGCGCCTTTCTCCCCACCTCGACCAAAACAAGCCCGGGAAGAGACAGGAGAACTGGATTGCGAAAGAGAAAAGGAGTAAGGGACAGGGACGGGGGGGAGGGCATTCGCATTCAACAAACTCACCACCCTGAAAGAACGGGATGCTGAAGCGCGCCCCCTCGCCCGCGGGCGGGGACAGCACACGATGGGTGGTGGAGCGGCAGGCGCCCTGGGTCAAGGCCTCGAGGCCCTGACCGATGGCGACGACGAGGGTGCCCGGGACGGGCGGGCAGTCGACCCAGCGGCCGCGCAGGTTCTGGGCCTGGAGGCCGCGGTGCGCGCTCGCCTGCAGCAAGTAGCTGGTGAGCATGCTGTCCTTGTGGGGGCCCACGCCCTGGTTTCCGCTGCCGCTGCCCAGCTCCGCGGCGTCCGGGTACCGCACGACCTTGAGCTTGTGCTGCTGCCGCTCCTTGGGGGTCTCGAAGTAGCGGTCGAAGGCGTCGGGCGGCAGGCCGACGGCCTCGGCGATCAGCGAGGTGAAGCGCATCGATACGGCGCCCATGCGCACCATGTAGTCGGCGAAGACGTCGCGGAAGCGGGGCAGGGCCGCCGGCGACGGCCACTGGTTCGGCGCCAGCAGGTGGTGGTGCGCTGGCGCGTCGGGCTCCGGCACGGCGTGCGAGGTCGATAGGTCGATCTGCTCCCGGTGGTCGGTCGCGCCCGCTGTCACCTCGGCCGAGAGACGCGAGTAGCCTAGGAAGGAGGGCGCGTTCTTCATCTCGATCTTGAGCCTATGCGTGTGTGTAAGAGAGATGTGAGGTAAGGCGGGTGAGTGGATGCGTGGGTGCGCAGATGAGAAGGCTGGGTGAGAGCTACATAGGCAGTAGGATGAAATGGGATGAGTGACTGCATCCCACACTGTCCATCTAATCTAAGTCCGTGATATATATGTATATATATGTGTGTGTGCGTGTGTATGCGTGTGTATGCCGTGAGAATATAGTCTACAAGGACTTTGAAAAGAGGGGCCCAGGGGGTGAAGTCGTATAAATGCATTATCTGTTTACGACAGGGGGCGCAAGACGATGGCAGCCATAGCAAGCTACCGAGTAAACAGATACAAGGAAATATGAACAAACAATAACTACAGGTATATGCACAGGGACTCGCTACTCTACTCACTTCTCCTCCAGTGGGATATCGAAGAAGGCCCGGCCCTCCGTCACGACCTGCTCGAACAGCGCATCGGGAATGCCCACGTTCTTGATGTACATGAATCCGACCTCCATCACGGCATGGCGCAGGTCGGCCAGGAACCGCGACTTGGTCTCCGGGTCCTCGGCGAGGCTCACGTCGAGGATCGGGATCTCCGTAAACGACATGGTCGCTTATTTGAGTTTTGGTTGAAAAGAAAAAAAGGGAAGGTCTAGTTATTAATTTCCTCGTTAGTTGATGATTGTTGACAGGCCGGCTTTGCTCTTAAGTCGACATGGGTGAAAACTCCTAGGTGCCAGACAGAACCGAGACACTTTAAGGGCAATGGCAATGCCTGTCTTGAAATCGGGTTGCCTTATATATATTATTTTAGGACGCGGATGTATATTCACATATATATGATGGGATGTCACGTTGAACCACGGGATGTGAGGTCCGTCCAGTTGGGATGCGGAATGCGAAGAGTTAGAAGTATCACGGAGTATCCCGTAGTGTATGGCGCAATGCCGCTGATCGGCGCTGAATTGCACGAGCTCGACTTTACCCCTCCAATCCGAATTCACTGACGTTATTCGTCAAGATCACGAACTCAAATGATGGCACAAACTCCATACTGCGGCAGCCAAAATGCCATACCAACATGTTGATATGCTTTGTTGACTACCTATTTTATACCTTCCGATGAGCAGTCAAGCCACATTTGGTCGGCCGTCTTGTCTTCCCTTATACCGCCTATTCCCCCTAACCATATGATGGTTTAGCAACGCCCTATCCCTTGAAAAAACAACATAATTATACACGATCATTCATAATGATCAAACTTCTCATTCTGCGACGATGCTGATGCCGATGATGGACCGTCCGCCTTCCTGTG